CTCGGGGTCTCCGGGGGGGCGCTGGCGGTGGCTGCGCGTGGTTGGGCGTGGGGGGGGGGGGGGGGGGGGGGGGGGGTGCAAAATTTCTACCCTATACACTTCAACACTCCTTTCAGATCGTGTTTCACAAAAAATATTTTATTAGAAAAATTCTAATCATGAATATTCTTTTCTGTGGTAGTCTGTTACTTACAGACTAACAATTTAACTCTAGAGTATATGAAAAACATTTTTTTAGGTCTACAGAAATGTTCTGAGGATGTCAAGTTATGGTAAGAAAAGATCAGATTATACAGACTTTTCATATATTTCATTCAGTTCAATCTTATATATTTGAAAAACATCTCTTCAAATCCGGTTGAACATTTTATTCATGTTAGGTTCAAAGAGAATGAAAAATTCCTGTCTAATTTAATAGAGTTGTTGTTAAATACCTGCAAATAAATACGGATACCAATAGAATTTGGAACTTGTTCAAGTATACTGAGAACATTATCATTGGAAATTTTTGCTGCTGAACTATAATTCTGTCTATCCTTTGGATTTACATCTGAACGAACAAGCCCATGATCGAATTTTGAAAAGTTGTCGATAAGATAAAGAAGACGATCAATATTAATTAACTGAGTACCGAAAAGAAGTGTTGCTTTTGTCAAAAGAAGTCGATTTCTAAGTTTAGTACAAATATGAGTTGCATCCTGCATACATACAAATAGTATTTCGTGCTGCATGAAAAACCAAGACCACGTCATTGGAAGATCAATTGAAAATAAATCTGGATGATCAACGAAGACAAAATGTGCAAAGAATCCTAGTGTTGCTTTCATAGCAAGTAAATGCCGAATGTCGTAATCAGTTGAAAAACCTATGATGCGAACATCTTTTTTTTTGGATTCTTGATAAATATGATGCCAACGAGATAAAACATCTGCTGCTGTAAACTTGCCGTCTGTTCCGAAAGCAGCAAGTAGATAAGGCGAGATATGGTTGGATGTAGATGAAAGCGGTTGAATGACAAAAGCGTTTAATAATTTAGTTGATGATAAAGTCGAAGTCCAATATTCGAAACGAGCGAATAATTCTGTCGAGAATGAGTCAGCAACAGGAATTCCATTAGCATTGAGTGGACGTGCAAAACCAATGAATGAATTTGACAAAGTATCATATGTAATTTTTGGAACAACTGCTGTACAATCTTCAGCACAAAAACCTAATGTTGATTGATTTAAATTAAAATGATCACGAATACGATAATAATTAAATAATCCTTCAGTTAAACGGTTTTCTGCAGCAGCAATATACGATTGAATGATTTGTACACTTGGAAGACGTGCAGGAATATTTAAACGTAAAAAATCATACGTTGTACGACCTCCAAGAATATAAATGCTGGCTGCAAATTGACGAACAATATTATCATAGCGGTAACCCCTTTCATCACTGATTAAATTGTTGAATATATTCTTTAAAATAATATTTAAAAATGTTAAATCAATTTTGCTGGACATAATGAGTTTTTCATAGGTAATAATTGTTCGAATAAATGGAAATCTTTGTAAAACATCATTAGAAATAATTACATCAGATGAAGCAAAGGAATTGTGATGGAGGTTAGCAATTGAATACTGTTGATTTAGAGTACGAAGAGAACGAAGAAAATTTTCAACCCTGTACATTATTCCTTTCTTCAGCATATAACTACCACCATTGATATAAATTCCTGCTTTTCTCTTCAAGTGAATGAGATCGTCTGAATCAAGTTCTAAGAAAGTAAAGATGTTGTTGATCTCAAGAAGACATTCAACCGATGAGATATCTTGTGCTTTCATAATCTCAAGAGCCACACTACCACATTGTTCTTCCACCAAATTATAAAATGCGTCATTGCGAAACGATAGAACTTCTTCTGTTAGATTGGTCGTTGATAAACTAGCTAACATTTCCAAAATTTTTCTAGAAAAAATGTATTACATTTATAATTGTACAATTCAAAGACTACTAAAATAACAAAGAAAGATACATTTTGTCTCAGAATACTCTCTAGGCCTTCAAAAGAAATAAATTTATTTTGGTCGAATTATCATGTTATAAGACAATCTTTTAAACCATTTAAAATCAAGTTGTCAAGATCATAGTTGATTCTGATGATGGATCTTCAAGCATGTCACGTACTAATCTTTAAAGTAACTTCAGATTAAAGAACTTAAGCTAGAAGAATCTGGTATCGATTTATTTCATAAACTGTAGATACATATATATATATATATGGCAGGCGTGTGGAATTCAGTTGAGATTGGAATTAGAGTTTTGTATTGCATAGATCGAAAAGTTCTTTTTTTGTAAAAGTATATACAATGAATAATTTCTTTGTTAATTTAATTTTCTCTCTTTCTGATTTTTTGGAAAAAAGATCTTAGATATTTTTGTTTTCGAGGCGGAGACATTGGGACATTGCTTTAGTTCAATTTTTTTCTCTCTCTATTCGAAAAAATAAAGATTTTTGCTATGTTTGTTTTCAATGTCGGGGACATTGGGAACACGGATTTAATTAAATCTTTCTCTCTCTCTTTCTCTGTTGGAAAAATAACTTTTCGCTCTCTTTTTTTTTATCTTATCGAAAGTGTGGATGTCGATTGTTTTCAAATGTTTCAATGTGTAGAAGAATATGTTTTGTGTGTGCATAGAATAGATGCATCTGACGAAGATATATGAATCAAGTATAATTTACCCGTCACCAAAGTTGAAGAAGAAAAAGGGAATTAAAATATTTTTTATTGATTGATTTGAAATAGAATGTAATAAAGGATATTCTGTTTTGGATGTCGATAAGAATTCAGTGAAGTTTGAAAAGATTTCAAGTAGAAAACTGATGAATATGGCGAAATAGACTTTAAAGAAAAAAGAGCGAATTGAATTAGATGACTGTTTCTTTTAGTGCGGCTTGAAATCATAATGAATAATTTGTAGTTTAGACGGAATGACTTTGAGCAGGGGTGGTTGGAAGCAGGGAATGAAATTGGCTTCGCAAAATAATTACATCGAATCAGATAAATATTTTTATTAATATGATTTGAAATCGCAATAAATAACTTTTCGTTCTGACTAAATTTATAACAATAATTTGATGTAGAAATAGTAAAATAGATGAGGCATGATATCTGCTAGATCTTTAAGAAGTTCAGATTGAATTCATGAATTACTAACGAATTCTTTATTTCTGGATAAGTGTATTGTTATAAAAAAATGACTATTGATATTTACTAGTTGAGTTCTTATAGAATAATAAAAGAACAATTTTTACCATAGTATGAAATATATGATAATGCCAACCCATACTTCTCTATATTACGTTCTTTTAATATCAAGGCATGAGTACAAAGTCGAACGTAAATTAACGTATGATTCGTACTATCAACGTGATAGCAAATTTAGACTAACGAAATAGACGCAATTAGAAGTTTTATATTACTAAAACTAAAACAACTTATGTATACACTTATTGTAGCGAATCAGAATATAATTTGTTATTTACTGCTCGTAAAAAATGTTGTAAGTTATTCATAAAAGTTTGTTCGCCGTACGAAATATGTATACAGAGTTTTCTTTTACCTTTTTTTTCGCTCCTCTTTTTTAAGTATCTATCTACTATTCCAATCTCAACTAAACTCTCATGTCAACTGTGGCATATATATAGAAAAATTTTATTATGATTAAATAATATAAAATAAGTCACACAGATAAATGAGTAATAAAAACTGTAAATAAATAAAAATCGAATTCAGAAAACACATTTAAATACTCTTTTTTTTCTTTGATAATGACAATTCGACTGATCGATTTCGTTTTCTTTTTCCACGTAATGGAGAAACAGATGAAACTGAATTTGACATGATAGTTAATTCCGCATCAACAGAATCGCTAATATGATTATCATCAGAAACATCATTGACACTTGTATACTGATTAATATTCATTAGTTTTTGTTGAACCATAGCACATGGTTTTTTTTTGTGTTAAATGACGAATGAAATTCGACAACTAAAATAACATAAAAATTGTTGATATATTAACACATAGAATAATCAAGGTAGACTAGAAAATGTTGAATATCATCGCAGATATTTTAGTAGTATACTCATTCCTATGTCGAAAATACATTCATCTATCTTTTTCATGCAGAAAACAAAAATTTCTAAAAAATGACTTACGATATATCTGTTGCTTTTTTGACCTAACACCATTTTCACACTACATTGACATTTGATCAACACCTTATTTGATACAGGATCGATCATAATTTCGTAATCGGTATCTTGTTGTAGACGAAAGGCAAATTGATTTTCGTTTTCTTTCAATTGCATACACCAATCATCAATTAAATCAATTAAATGTTGTCTAAGTTGATCTTCAGTTGCATAATTACTAGCAATTGGCGACCAAATATTAATCGACTCTTGAACAGACAGTTGTGTTATATTAGTAACATTGCCAATAACTGGATTATCTAATGACGTATCAGTTGTTCCATTAATATTTGCAGAGATAATTGATTTTTTTTTCAATTCACTGCATTTTTTTAATAATATACCTTTCAAAATCTTCATTTTACATATTAGACCAGGTAAGACTACAAAACCATTAGTTTTTAATTTTATGCATGTTTCCTTTTGCAAGTCGAGTAAATCATCTGAGTTCAACGAAAGAATTTCAAATGGATTATCACAAGCAATAAGACATTGTGCATTACTAATATCTTGGAACTTAACAAGACTTGACAGTTTCTCACCGGCGAATAATTTCACAAATTCAAAGAAATTAATTCCTTCCAATTCAAATACATTATGTGGAACAACAAGATTTCCAATAGACATGTTGGATACTATTCAATGAATCAATACAAATGTATAACGAATGTAATAAATAGAAGGCAATGTTCGTTGGACACGAGGAAGATGAAAATGAACAGAAAGAAAAAATGTCTATCCGTTAACTAACCATATAAGAAGAGAACATATACAAAGTGATACAAAAGAGACTGGATACCGAGGTGTCTACCTTGAATAGTAATTGAACGATGTTTGGTCACGTGTTATTCATGTGTGAAAACGCATAATATTTGTTATTTTTTTCAAGTTATTTGTTGAAAATAGATATCAACAGAAGTAATTTAAGCATACTTCGAACGAATAAAACTCTGCAAATCTTCTGTTTTTACTATCCTTTTCGTCACGAAGTTTATAGAAATTGAATTAGAGTATGACGCTCTTTCCTTTTTGATTATATGTTCAATAACTCTGAAAAATATCCCTGTATAGTAATAATAGTTGTCCTTGATTTCTTTTGATTTCCTATGATTTCCAATGATCTCTTATGACTTCCAATGATTTTTTATGATTTCCAATGATTTATGTGATTTCTTCTGATTTCCAATGATTTCTATGATTTTTCACGATTTCTTGTGGTTTCTAGGTGATTTCTCATATGGAAATCAGTTTGTTCCCCCTTGGTAAATGTGTTGTACCGTGCTAGCTGGTGTTATACGCATAAATAATCGGTTGTAATAAATAATCCCAATCTTGTACTTGTTCATTCATTAATTTTGATAATGCTGGGGCAAACCTTACGTTAAATCTTTCTGTCTGAGCATTCGACATAGGATGATATGGTGTCGCGAGGATGTGTGTTGTATGACATGAATTGATTATTGTTCTGGTTAATTCTGCAATAAAGTGAGGTCCTTGATCTGTCACTAATTTTGTTGGTGCTCCTTAATGATAACATACATTTAAGAAAAATTCTGCTGCTTCATGTGCTGAACTTGTCCTGACTGCTTCCGCGAACCTGAATTTTGAAACATAATCGGTCATCGTGATAACATATGTGTTCCCATTTGTTGTGGATTGCTCCGTAGGACCCCAATAATCCATTCCAACCAAACCCATCACTTCATTGGGTGTAGGGATAATATTCATTTTCCCGGGTAATTTGGTTCTTCTATAGTTGTATCTTGAACATCTGATACAAGACTTCATATAATTGATTATTACTTTATACATATTCGGCCAATAACACTTGTTGACCAATTTGGTTGTTGTTTTATTAATCCCCAGATGCGCTGCTGTATGATCGTCGTGATAAAGAAAAAGCACTTGATTTATCATGGTTTTTGCATAAATGTTAAATCTGAAAATTGAATTCAATGATTGAAAATTTACTTAAACTATTCAATTATTCAGTTATTCCATGTTCACCAGATGTGGATGCGGAGAAAGGAGTTCGGAGGGAGATGACATACATATGGGCTTGAGCAGCCGACTTGATACCCCAAGATATAATATTATTCCAGGAAGAAGTATATAATGAATTTTATATCAAATGAAAGCTCGTCAAAAATGGTATTCATTGGTACTAAATAGTAAGGGTTGTGTGAACTTTGTAATGTCAAACTTAAGAAATTTTCAGAAATTTCATACATTTTCGCATAGAAAACTAAGATGTCAGTAATTGAAAAATGGAGTAAAATTTTTTTTCTTGAATATTTTTATATGATT